TTGCTTACGTGGCCACTCGGGCCAACACTGCTGATATATTCACCAAGGCACTTCAGCCTCGTGATCATCAGCGTTTCTGTACTGTTTTAGGCCTCGTACCTACTTTCCCTCACTTGCTCACTTCGTGACTTTGCTTGTACTGCGATCTATATACGTGTACCTGCATGCTTACACTTGCTAGGTTGTGATCACTGTACTGCTTGTTCCCATATATAACTCTGCATGTGAACTGGCCTTGTGGCCATTTGCTTGTGCTCAGAGTGTGTGGTGACTTCGTGATCCACCCTGAGCTTGCTTTGCTTTTCTTGACTGGTCTTGTGACCCCTTGTTCTCCCCCACTTTGCCTATGGGGATGTGTCAAACTATAATGCTGCTTATGTTGTGTAGGCTGTAGTGGGGTAGCCTATATGGGGTACAACCCAATTAGGGTTAGCACTTGTACCACATTTCTGATTAATTCATTCATTCCTGCTCGTTAGTTTCTGACATTGAGGTGGATGCCCGACTCGCGCGCCACCTTGCTTATCGACGCCGCAAGCTCTAGGCGCACGAGCCACTTCAACTTCTCTTGGGCGGTATACGAGTGATGCTTATGGTGCGTCGGCTTGTGCCTAGGAGAGGGGGGGTGGGCATCACGGTTCTCAGAAGAAGGATGGGGGCGCTTTCTGTTAATTGGTAGATAAGACGGAATCGACAGCTTCTCAAGTAGGCCATCGCGCGACCAGTGCGCCTGCACCACCCTCGGAAAACACAGCAGCCTCAGTGCCAGCCTCGGCGACCAACGGTGCCAGAAGTGGTCCTGAAGGGATTTCCTGCTGCGCTCATGCTGGAAATGATCCGTCGGCTGCTGGTGGTAGCGGTTTGGTGAAGCGTGGTAAAAGTGCCTTTGCTTCTGGCTTTGTTTTTCACCATACGGTTGACCCAATGACACGGGTGGATACTGACCGTATCAGGGGCTTGATCCTTCTGCATAAAGCTGATGGTTACCGCTGGCGTTGTTTTGCGGGGGACCCAACGCATGACAACTACGGTAAACAAATTTGTAGTGCATCACAAACGCTGAAGTTTGTGAAAATAAAAAATAGAGAAAGCTGAGGTTTTTTTTTTTTTTTTTTTTTTTTTTTTTTTTTTTTTAATGGGAAAGTTTTACTGTAACGCGTTGTCCTCTGCACCGTCACACCTTCGCAATCCCCCCAACCAACCACTGGTCAGCCAAGTCTACAATTTCATCGTGGCTTTGGTTCAAACAACGCCGACACTGCTATGCGGTGCAGAGCGATCCGCGCATCTTCAGGGCGCTTCTGTGGTTTTTTAAACGGCGTCGTTTGGTGATTGAAGTGATTGACGCGGCCGAGCTTTAATCTTCACCACCAAGTTTTACGCAACACCACACCAACCAACCTTCCCATTCCCTTTGTTTCACGCAGCGCCATGGCACAAGCTGGCCAATTTCACCCATCACACTCCACGTCGCAAGACTCCCATCGTGAAAGAGGAAGACAAAGGCGAGAACAAGGTTCTATCTTTCAGCATTTCGTGTGTCGCACACGTGATTAGTACAATTTCGCGTTACAGTCGTCACAGATAGTACTTGCTGCTCAAGGCTCGATCCCCCACCCTGCATCGCGCACACGCAGCGGCTCACGAGCACGCAATATAGCAACGAACCTGTTCGCCGTACTACGGGTCACGCGCGTTCGGGTACGTGCAAGGCGTCACACGGGCAACACGCGCGCGGGGATCATCATCGATGGGGCCGCTTTGCGCCGCGGCGACGGGGAGGCGCGGCGACGTTACGATGGCGGCGAGAGCGGCGGTGGTGGCGCTGGTGGTGGCGCGCTGCTGCATGCCCCTCGCACGCGCTGCTCCCGTCGTGGACGCCGAGAGTAAGCCTCTATAGGCTGCCAGTAAGCCGTGCTGACAATAATCCGTGCTGCCAGTAAGCCGTGCTGCCAGTAATCCGTGCTGCCAGTAATCCGTGCTGCCAGTAAGCCGTGCTGCCAGTAAGCCGTGCTGACATTAAGCCGTGCTGCCCAGAGTAAGCCGTTAAGCCGAGAGTAAGCCGTTAAGCCGAGAGTAAAGCCGTTAAGCCGAGAGTAAGCCGTTAAGCCGAGAGTCAGCCGTTAAACCGAGAGTAGCCGTGGTGACACTAAGCCATGGTGACAGTAAGCCATGGTGACAGTAAGCCGTGGTAACATTAAGCCGTGGTGACATTAAGCCGTGGTGACATTAAGCCGTGGTGACATTAAGTCGTGGTGACATAAAGCCGTGGTGACATAAAGCCGTGGTGACATAAAGCCGTGGTGACATAAAGCCGTGGTGACATAAAGCCGTGGTGACATAAAGCCGTGGTGACATAAAGCCGTGGTGACATTAAGCCGTGGTGACATTAAGCCGTGGTGACATTAAGCCGTGGTGACATTAAGCCGTGGTGACATTAAGCCGTGGTGATATTAAGCCGTGGTCTTAGTTGGAGTATACGCTCGAATCTTTTTGCGTTTTGAGTTTATACGCGCAAAAAAAACGACCGCTGCGTTTTTGGTGTGGAAACGCAGAAAAACGCTCGGGCAGCCCGGGAAAAAAAAATCAGAAGTTGGGTTTGAGCTAGCGACATGGCGAACTGAAAATTAGGGCATCGCACATTCGGGATCTCAACTTCGAAATTGAATTTCGAAGCAGATCCACAACAACCTCTTCTGTAAACCATTGCGCAACCCACTCCACCCCATTCAATCCCAATTCCGTCCACTCGATGTCGAGTGGAGGAGTTGGATTCAACCAGACTCACCTCTCCTAGCAGAAATGCGGCTCTATTTCTCCATTCGATGTTCATCGTTCGGATTTTTTTACCTCGTATTTACCTACCTCGTTCGTATCGACGAGTATGACTAGACTGCGGGCACCAACTTCGTGCTTTGCACCTCGCCCATCCCCCCCTCTTAATCTAACAAACTGCCCGGCGAAAACTTTTATGTGCCCGGGCCTGCGTTTTCACTGCGTACCGGACCCCTCCCAAGAAGCGTTCGGCGTTTATACGCTAGCGGATAAACGCTAGCGTATGAAACGCGAAACGCGTATACTCCAACTAAGGCCGTGGTGACATTAAGCCGTGGTGACATTAAGCCGTGGTGACATTAAGCCGTGGTGACATTAAGCCATGGTGACATAAAGCCGTGGTGACATTAAGCCGTGGTGACATAAAGCCGTGGTGACATCAAGCCGTGGTGACATCAAGCCGTGGTGACATCAAGCCGTGGTGACATCAAGCCGTGGTGACATCAAGCCGTGGTGAACACTGACAGAAACGTGCTGGACCCACTTTTTTCATGATGAACTTCGGACCAGCAACCACCCTTCACTGCTGGCTGCAGCTCGCCTCCTGCCACACACACCTTAATCCCTCTGCCCTCTCCATGTTCCTCTCGCCCCTCGGTTGGAAAGTTGTAACACCCTCTTGTGGCATGGCATGTTGCCTTGCCGGGGTGGTATGGCGTGGATGGTATGGTATGGCATGGGTGGGATGGCAGTGGAAGCACTGGAGAATCTAGCGCACGAATGGATTGACGTCAAGGGAACGAGCACGTGGAAGAGCGGCAGGGACTGTGACAGCATGGATGGCGTGCGATGTGATGGCGATGGGCATGTCATTGCACTGTAAGCATGTCATTGCACTGTATGCACGTCATTTCACTGTAAGCATGTCATTGCAATGTAAGCATGTCATTGCACTGTAAGCATGTCATTGCACTGTAAGCACATTGCACTGTAAGCATGTCATTGCACTGTAAGCATGTCATTGCACAGTAAGCATGTCATTGCACTGTAAGCATGTCATTGCACTGTAAGCATGTCATTGCACTGTAAGCATGTCATTGCACTGTAAGCATGTCATTGCACTGTAAGCATGACATTGCACTGTAAGCATGTCATTGCACTGTAAGCATGTCATTCCATTGTAAGCGTGCCATTGCACTATAAGCCTGCCGTTGCACTGTAAGCGTGCCATTGCACTGTAAGCGTGCCATTGCACTGTAAGTGTGCCATTGCACTGTACACCCTTGTCCCCTTGCCTCTTTCTCCATTCTCTTCACATCTGTGAAACCGGTGCTTGAGTCGACCTCAATCCTCGCCCTGCCCATTCCATCGTCCTCCTCCTCCCCACACCATTCCACAGCTTCATTAAAGACTGCACCCTCACTGGCCCGCTCTTCAATGCTCTCCTCGCATTGTCCCATCTCAAGGATCTGTGAGACTCCTGCTATCTCACTCTCGCTTCCCCACTGGCCTTCACGCATTCCATCCCCACATCCTTCCATTCGCTTGCCATTGCTTGTAGTGAATCGCCCTTGCTTGTGCTGACTTATCCCCGCTTCGACGAGCTTGCTGTTGCTTGTCTTTGTGTGAATGTCAACTTCTTGCATTTTACATTTACTGAATGGATACTGCTTGCCCTGTCTTGCCTGCCTTTTCTTTTATTCTCGTATCTTGTCTCTCCCACGACGATCCTCTTTTGTGTCTCTCCTCCTGTTTCCATCCGTTTAACTACATTTCTACCCCTGCCTCTATGTCTATCCCTTTTCTTTTACCCCTGTTTACTCCACCATCTACCATCCACCATCTTGCAGTGATTTGGAATATTGCAATCAACTCCCTCCGCCCCCTGATATCATAGCGGAGTCTCTTTCTCCCAGGGACCTGTCAGTTCTACTTATTCTCTCATGCACCTCTTTCTTCTCTCATGCAGCTCTTTCTTCTCTCATGCACCTCTTTCTTCTCTCGTGCACCTCCCTTCTCTCAGTCGCGGGCCATCACAGCACCATGGTCTGCCTGTTTCCATCCGCCACCCTATTTTTTCTCCTGCATGTGCACGCCCAACTGCTTACATAAGCCTTGGAGCACGGTGATTCTTACAGTGTCACTCCATCTCACCGTGCATCATCTTCACTTGCACCCCCACACCTCATCCGCCCCTTCGCACGTTATCCGGCTCCTCACACCCCATGTGCCCTCCCACACCCCATGTGCCCTCTCACACCCCATGTGCCCTCTCACACCCCATGTGCCCTCTCACACCCCATGTGCCCTCTCACACCCCATGTGCCCTCTCACTCCCCATGTGCCCTTTCACACCCCATGTGCCCTCTCACACCCCATGTGCCCTCTCACACCCCATGTGCCCTCTCACACCCCGTTGCCATGATCTCTGTGCTCCCACCTGCACTGCCAGCTGCTCTCCACTCCATTCTCTCCTGCCACTCGTTTCTTTCCATCAGCCCCTCGTCTACAGCCTCTGGACAGCCGTCCTCTCTCCTCTGCAGCATCCTCTGATGTTGCTGCTTCCTCCACATGCATGGTGCATGCATGGTGAATGGAGGCGCATGCATCGTGCATCCATGGTGCATGCATGTTGCATGGATGGTGCCTGGATGGATGGTGCATGCATGGTGCATGGATTGCACATGCATGGTGTATGGATGGTGCATGGGTTACATTAGCAAATATCTCTTTGACTCACCACCACTACCAGAGCAGCTCTCCCAGCTGCAGAAGCTGCAGTCTCTGTAAGGCCGGGTGAGGGGCATGTGATGGCATGGGATGGCATGGGATGGCATGGGATAGCATGGGATGGCTTGGGATGGCAACCTATATGGATGTGACAAGCCAAAAGATCATGCGAGGTACTGTGCACGACACTTCGGCATAAACGAGAAAAGTCACATGCTTCTTCCTTTTTCCATGTTCCCACCTCTTGCCTCGTATTTCATTTCAATCCTATGCCATCTCATGCCATCCCATCCCATCCCATGTCATGCCATCCCACCCCATCCCATGCCATCCCGTGCCACCACATGGCAGGCGGCTCCACTACAACAGCCTGAGTGGCACCATTCCCGCCTCCATTGCCCACCTCACCGCACTCACCAACCTGTGCGCCCATTCTCCCTCCACCCCTCTCGCTCATTCTCCCTCCACCCGCCTCTCTCCAATTCTCCCTTCACCCACCTCTCTCCCACTCTCTCTCAATCACTCACTCTCCCATTCTCCCTCCACCACTCACTCTCCCATTCTCCCTTCTCCAATCACTCTCCCGTTCTCCCTTCACCCGCATCTCTCACCATTCTCCCTTCACCACTCCCTCTCCCATTCTCCCTTCACCACTCCCTCTCCCATTTTCCCTTCACTCGCCTCTCTCCCACACATGATTGTTCAGTCAGTCGGGAAGTAATGATACATCATGCAACAGTGCCATGTTACACCATATTCCTCTCCACTCCTTTAGTTTCATCCTCCACTTCAGTCATCCACCTTACGTTCACTCCCGCTCTTAACCATGACTTCCGTTCCTGCCTACCACCTCCCTGCTTTCAATGCCTCTCCTTACCCTCTCCGCCCAACCCCCTCCCTCCCCATGCTCCAGGATACTCAGCAACAACAGTCTTTCAGGCTCCATTCCAGAGGCAATCACCAGCCTCACGCAGTTACAGGAGTTGTGAGTGGTGATGGGGAGTTGCACCTCAAGTTGTAGCTTGTGCAATCCTATCCCATCCCATCCCATCTCATCCCATCCCTTCCCATCCCATCCCTTCCCATACCGTCCCGTCCCGTCCCGTCCCGTCTCGTCCCGTCCCGTCCCGTCCCGTCCCGTCCCGTCCCGTCCCATCCCATACTGTCCCATCCCGTCCCGTCCCGTCCCGCCCCGTCCCGTCCCGTCCCGTCCCGCCCCGCCCCGCCCCGTCCCGTCTCGTCCCGTCCCGTCCCATCCCATCCCATCCCATCCCATCCCATCCCATCCCATCCCATCCCATCCCATGCCATGCCATGCCATGCCATGCCATGCCATGGCAGGGACCTGCACAGCAACAAGCTGAGTGGCACCATTCCCGCTGCCATTGGCAACCTCACTGGACTCAACGCCCTGTGCGCTCATTCTCCCTCCACCCCCCCATGTCCATGCCTTCTTTATACCTGCCTCTCTGTGCCAAGCATCGGGGGTTTGAGATGGTGGGTAGGGTGAGGACAGGAACAGAAGTAGAGGGAGGGAGGGGAGATGAAGGCAATGAATAGGAGAGTGCGGATGCACCTTTTGTTGACGTCAATGTTGTCTGCTGCTGTGGGTGTGTTTGTCTCAAGCAACATGCCTTTAAGCAACAGCACTCGCACTCTTCCACGGACACCAAATCTGGCTTCTTATCCTTTTTGTGTCACTTCTCTCGACCTCTCCTCTCATCTTCTCCTCCCCTGTTTCCACTCTTCTCCTCTTCTCCTCTCCTCTTCTTCTCCCTATCCTCCTCTTCTCTCCCCGCATCCTTTTCTCTCCTCCTCTCGTTCTCTCCTATACTACTCTCCTCCTCTCCTCTTCTCCTCCTTTCCGCCTCTTCTCTTCTTTCCCTCTTCTTGTCTTTTCCCTTCCCCCCTTCTTCTTTTCCCCTCTTCTTCTCTTCCCCATCCCCTCCTCCCTTGTTCCCCTCTTCTCCTCTTCTTCCCTTCTCCTTTTCTCTTCGTTTCCTTCCCCCCTTTGTCTCTCCTTCCCTCCATGTCCATTCATCCACTTGTCTTCAGGAAACTGAGCGACAATCGCCTTGCAGGGACGATACCTGCTGCAATCACCACGCTCATTAATCTCAAGCACCTGTCAGTGTTACCTCCTCAGATTGCCCCACACTCAAGTGCCGTCATTGAATGGTGGTGTGTGTGAGTAATCTTAACAAACAGCCTGACTGAGTAACCTGCCGAGCCTACTCCAGCAAGGCATGTTTGGGTGCAATCACTCCAACAACCATCAGCGCTGCCCAACTCTTCTTCTCTGCGAAACGCCACCCCCACTGCTCGCAACAACTCGCTTTCTGCCATTCACACGTCACTTCCTTTCTGCCACCCACACGTCACTTGATAGCATCTTCGACGGTATCAAGTTATCAACCTCGCCAGTTTTTGCCCTTTAGTGAGCCATCCAGTCGTTTCCTCCCATGACACCACGTACTCTCCCCTCCCGCCTCCCATCGTTCGTGTAGAGCCATCTTAATCATACCTTGAAGCATTCGGATTACTTCCTTGTACGCTTTCCTCTACACCTAACGAATTATACGATAAATCAAAGGCTAAGCATGTCAGCTGAGTGTCCACAAAGAGCTCGCATACAAAATTTGGAATCGACGACTCACCACACACATGCTCTGTCTCATCACTCCCGTTTCCCCTGCTCCCCTTTCCCTTCACTTCCTCATTCCCGTCACTCCCATTCCCAACCACTCCTCTCCCTACCCACCTCTCTTCGCCTCCCACCTTTCCTTGGCATCATCACAGGCACCTTGACAACAACGAGCTTATGGGAGAGCTGCCGTCCTTCCACCACATGCCCCATCTCACCTTTCTAGAAGCGCATCACAACTACATCACAGCCACAGCAGACCAACTCCCTCTCAACGCTCAGAGCCAAGACGGTCCTGCCAGATATTACAGCGTGTGCCTGTTCCACCACAACTGCCTTGGAAACAACTCCATGTTTTGCGACCGTGAGCAGGCCCAGAGGCGAGCCAGCGAGTGCCGGGCGTTCTGTGGAGCGCAGCCGCTCACCCCGCCGTGCAGCGGCCATGGCGTGTGCTCCTCCTTTGTGCCTGACCCCTCTCACCACATGTTTTCCTGCTGTGGTGGTGATGAGGATCAGATTCCGCCACCCAACTATCAACCCGAGGGCCAGTGCGTCTGTGATGAGGGGTACACGCCAGGGACTGCTGATGGCACATGTGTCCCTCACAGTAAGCCTGCTGATGAATGCTCTCTCGCTAGCTGATGCCTGTTTTCTTTTTCTCTTCCTTTCCCACCATAAGCTCGTCCTTGCTGCATTTTGTCTTCCAAAGCCTGCTTGCCAACATGCCTGCGTGCTGCCATGCCTGCTTGCTGCCATGGCTGCTTGCTATCCCAAGGGCTCAACTGCCCGACTCATTCCACCTGCCTGAGGAACGGTGCCAGTGGGCCGAGGGAGAGTGGCATTGCCACCACTCCCACCCAATTGAACCCGCGCATTCTCGCTTGGATGTCTGACTTGTTTCATTCCACTGCCCATTCCACACTGAGTCAGCCTGTCATTCCGTGCACCCTGATCCTCGTTCACATTCCTCCATACCCAATGAGCACACCAGTCAACCCCTTGTGCCAGTGCCTATGCGCCTGCTCCACCAATTCCCTTCTCCTCTCCACACTTCACCTCCTCCCACTCACTCTCCTTATCCACACTGCCGGCACCAATCCTGTACCCTGCTCTTTCCACAACCCACCCTGTGAACCACCATAAACTTCAGCCATGGGGGTGGCTCTGGCTCTTCTCCAGGAGCCTCAGAATCGGTTGCTGCTGCTGGTGGTGCTTCCTCTGGTTGTGCTCCAGCTGGCCTTCGCATTGCCATTGATTCTGAGGCGCATCAAGCACAGCCGCCCCACACGCTACTTGTAATCAAAGAGAGCCCTTGCTGCTCGGCAAGCTGCCATGTGTGCGGATGTCAGCTGTTACTACAGGCAGGATTGCCAAGGGTTGACGGCCATGCAGGAATACCGGTAGTTTGTATATTTTTCAGCAGATTACTTTCCACACATAAATGTTTACTTGCTGAGATACGGTATTCCATTCCTTGTTTTTTTACCTTTCTTTCCCAAACCTGCTACGGTATTTTAGACTTGTAGAATCTGTTGTTTTATTTGAGGTGTACAACATTGTGATTCTCAGGTCATTATAAATTCATTACTCAGAAGCTTACTGTAATTACGGTAGTACCACTGTTGGAATATCCGAAAGGTTGTTACAGAATCCCCGTAGGTTTTGCTGTAACGCTTCAGTTTAGGTTCCCTATTCTGAGGATCTAGGATCGAGCTTAGAAAAGTGGGTTTGAATTGAATGCTCCACCTGGGTACAACACGAAGCTATAGTCTCGACACAAGGCCAGTTACCCAGGTGTTACGCGAATGTTCTGAGGGTCGCGAAGCGTCCCGAACAGAACCTTCCCGAACTCGGTAGAAAGCAATTCGGTGGCAATAAAAAAGGCTTGAGTTCAGTACACGTAACCTGATTCGGTGCTATAACTATAATAGAATATAGGAATGCACTCAACCTAGGAAATCAAGCATATCTACGCATGATAAATAAAACCGAAGCTAGTAATAGCATAATAAAGTCAAGACAAGCTAGCAAAGCCAGCATAAGCCGTCGTACTCTCACACCTATAACAAAGACACATGTTTATAGAAAATTGTAACCAGTTGTGTTTTCAATTCAACTCTGTCGTCTACCAGGGGACTGTTTAGTAGGCACCCCAGTCGGAGTGCAGAAGTAGCATTAAAGTGTGGAGTGGGAGAACGGTAGGGGGGAGGGACACGGTAGGGGGGCTGGAGGGACCTTTAAGTCAGAGAGTGCCTTTCATTGCACCCGCAGGCACTCACTCGCGTGTTGCTCTTCCTCATGGATGCCCTCAAGGTGGGGGAAAGGGGCAGTGAAAATGGAAGAGATGGGGAGGAGAGGGGTTGGAGAGGTGCCTCTAAAACAAATAAAGGAGAGCGCGGGTTATTTCACACCCACTTGTTAGAAGTAGGACTTAGGTGAAGGAATTTCGATTAGGTAAGAGGGAGAGGTATGTCAGAACTATGCTCTAGGCTGTAGTGGGGCACTCCTTATGGGGTACAGCCCAAATTAGGTTTTGCTTATACAAACCTTGCACTGCTCTCTTTCTAGTCATTCTTTCCTTCACATTTCTGACATGGTTTCAGAGCAGGTTCCCTAGTGGGAACGTTTTTTTTAGGGCCCACCACGATAATTTGTTTTTTCCTGCCCTGCCCGAAGCGCGCCTCGCGCCTGCCTCACCTGCGCCGTCGCGCGCCCTGCCCTATTGCCGCCCGTCGCGGCCCTGCCTTCTCGGCCCGTCGCGGCCCTGTCCTAACGGCCGTCGCGGCCCTGACCTAGCCGCCCGTCGCGGCCCTGCCCTGTCGCCGCCTCGTCGCGGCCTGACCTAGCCGCCCGTCGCGGCCTTACCTAGCCGCCCGTCGCGGCTCTGCCCTGACGTCCCTCGTCGCGGCCCTGACCTCGCCGCCCGTCGCGGCCCTGCCCTGCCGCCACCCGTCGCGGCCCTGCCCTCAGCCGCTCGTCGCGGCCCTGCTCTACCGCCGCCCTGTCGCGGCTCTGCCCTGCAGCCGCCTTGTCGCGGCCCTGCCCTGCTGCCGCCCTGTCGCGGCCCTGCTCTGCCG